GACCTGAGTACTTCAAGTCCGGTGCAAAAACGCATGATCGCACGGGCCCGCCCGGTACGTTCCAGCTTAGATCTACATGTGGGTCTCAATTACGGACTCCTTGAAGGATTTATGCAAATTTTTGACGGAAAAGCGGTCCCAGAAACTCAAAATAGTGAGGCAAAAGCACTCCCTCTAAACCATCTTACAGCAGCACGAACTTATGCAAAAACATATACTCGCGCTGGCCCCCAGCTGATGCGCGCTGCGAATGATTACAGTGTTTATTAACAGTCGGTTGACGTAGTGTATGCCTTAAATATGTCTGCGACAACAAATATTAGTTCTGAAAGTTGCGCATTGCGTCACACCGACGAGCTAGTGCTGCATGAAGCAAGTGTCTCAGTTTATTTGTCAGTGATTTTTGCTGTAAATCGACATATATTAGCGACGTGTTTAATTTGTGTACTTGCACATTCAACTAGACACAATTCTCAGTGGGGCTAATCGCAAATGAATGATAGGACTTTGCTGCAGGCAAAATTGAATTCAATTCATGAACAGCGAGGAGGGGGAAGAATGAAAATATTTATTTGTTTGGCTGTTGAGGTCTAAATGGATGATAAATGAGCCTCCAGTTCGAATTCTCAGAGACAGGACAAGCAACTTCTTCAAGAATTAAGCAACTTCAAAAATTTTCTCTAAAAGTAAACGAAGCATTACTGTAGGATTATTCTGGATATGGGTCCCTGGAGATACAGCGATGAAGAGGATGCTTTGGAGAAACTCTTTGAGCAAGATTATATTGAAATAATATGTCTGTAGCAAGGCGGCAGCGCTGCAAGTTCAGTCTAAGCGATGCTGGGCCTTCTCCAGCTCGATTGCGAGATTTAACTGCCATTGTGCCTCTCACTTCTTCACAAATATTTTGGCCGGCGATGACTTTCATCATGCCCGCTTGCCCTCTTGCGAACCAATGGCAAAAACAGAGCATGAGGAGGAAGAAGCTAAAAGAAATTTGCAGATGCTTGGGATGGAAGCTCTTTCGATTCACCCCCTCCTCTACTCCGCATCCCGTGGAGCGTCCGCTGTACACGCATTTGAAATGAACAATCTGTCATAATGCGCCACCCTTCCCAAGATGAGCTCTAATCTGGCCACAGGCGATGCAGCCGAAGAGTAAGTCAGGCTCCACACGGCCCATCTAATTCTTTTCCTTCCATCATCATAGCACATTAGAAGTCCACTCTATTCATCCGGTTTGCATACTGTAGCTGTTCGAAGGCGCTCCAGACGACTGGTGTTTTTTCTTTTCGAGCACTGCTACCGGCAGCCGCACTGAGTGAGCAAATGCCATTTTTGAAAACGAACAGTGTTGTACACAAAGGAGTCGAAACACGAATGTGTTTTTGCTCAGCAAAGTTCAGTGGATATTTGCTCCGGCTACACACATTTAAACGTGATTCCAGCTCATAAAGGATTATTCTTAACTTCCTTTTCTAGTATTTCCGAAGTTAAAAAGGACAAGAAGACTAAAAATTGGTCAAAAAACCAGACTCAGCTCTTCTGCTTCCTAGCTTTTTACCTCACGCCACGTTCAGAATGCAAAATAACGTTATATCCCTTGTCAGGAACAGTTCGCAACATTAAACACAAGCTAAATGACGTGTAAAGCAGAGGTTTGAACCCATATGCAAGTTTGGCTCCCACTTATTTGGGATGAATGTAGCGAAATAAGAGAACTAATATTTGAATTAATAGTTTTTACCAGCGGCCAAATCCCAAAGTTGCGATTTTAGGTCATATTTAGTCGCAGGACTCATACTTCAAGCGAACATGGAGATACATGCATACACACAGGCCCAGGGAAGATGTTAATGATATTCATTTCCATTTTTCCATATGCAAAGGAAAACAATAAAAATCATTGGCAGCGCGCACTGGGCAGGCCCCGTGCAATCATGCGTTTTTGCAATGTTTCGTGCTGTAGTAAATTCACTCGAAATTTCGTTAGCTAGAAACTTCTTGTACATACTGGTCCTCGAATTTCGGGAAGCTAATTGTTTAGGCTATACTTGAACAGGAAAAATTCCGTCGAAATCCCAGGCTCCCAGTTTTCTCAGTTCCCGAGTTACCCAAATTCCAGCCATAAAATTTCAAGGGGCCGAACGTGGAAACAAACACGCATAACGGAGGGCCGAATTTAATAAATTTAAGGTGTAAATGAGTTGGGAACATTTCCTGAAAGTTTCAGTCTCCCAGCTTCCCTGGTTCCGGAGTTAGCCATTTTCGCGTTAAGAATTTTCACGGTGCCGTGCGTGGCAACCACGCATAACGGAGGCTGAATTTAATAAATTCAAGTTGTAGATGAGCTGGGGACATTTTCTGTAAGTTTCAGTCCCCCAGCTTTCTCGGTTCCCGAGCAAGCGATTTTCGCGCCAGGAACCCTCACGGGGCCTTACGCGGGAACCACGAACCCACAGGGACTGAATTTGAAATCTTTGAGTTCTACTTGGATTGGAAACATAACCTCAAAGTTTCAGCTTTTTAGCTTTTCTGGCTCCCAAGTTAGCGATTTTCCGGCCAAAAATTTGAGGCGCTCGTACGCGGGGCCTAGACGTGCTTGAGGGTTGGTACCGCGGTCCTGGGGTGGTATTTGGCCGGGGAACCCACTTGCAAAATTTTAGAGTCGGAGTCTTGCTTGGCTGCCGAGTTGAAACACGCGGACAGACGCACGCACACACCGGGGCCGTCACAATATGTGTTTTTGCATATTATGCAAAAACGCATAATTAGAAATTTTGGTACTTTGGTGGTACTATCTTTTGAACTTCACTGCTTTTATGCGTTTTTGCTGTGCAGCGCTATAGCGCTGTTAAAGCGAGCGAAACGAATACTCTGACGACCCCAATTTGTGTGTACGTACGTATGCGTGTGTTTGTATGTGTGTGTTTATGTGTGTGTTTATGTGTGTGTGCATCTGTCCGGATATTTCAACTCGGCGACCAGACAAGCTCCGGCACCGAAACTTTGCCAGCGGGTTCCTCTGCCAATTGCCACCCCAAAGCCGTGGTATCAACCCTCACGCATCTCTGGGCTTCGCATACGGCCACGTGAAGGCTTTGGCGGGAAAATCGCCAACTCAGGAGCGAGAAAATCTGGGAAGATGAAGTTTCTAGCGGATGTTCCCAGCCTACGCACAACTTAAAGATTTCAAATTTGGCCCAGTCATGCGTATTTCTCATCCACGGCCCTTCAAAAATTTTTGGCGTGAAAATCGCTAACTCGGAGACTAGGAAAGGAAAAAAGGTGAAATTTTGAGGAGATGTTCCCTAACCAGTACCAGGTAATTACACAATTAATTCCCTAAACTTGAGGATCAGCACGCCATAAATTCTGGCCAGTGGGACTTCAAGCGGTTTTACAACAGCACGAAATACTGCAAAACCTACATGATCGCACGGCTGCCCGACGGTGCGCGTCGCTAGTGATTTCTAATGGTTTGCGCAGAAAAGCATAGTGACAGGATCATTTCCGTGCATATGTAGTTGTATGAATTTGTATAAGTGTGTTTTTTTGTACTTGTGTGTATGTGTATACTATGCGTTTATGCAAGCGTTTATATGTAGCTAATTTTCCCCCAAATATGTTATTTTCAGGACTTGCCTAGAAGAAACAATAATTGACACACTTCAAAACGCGCGATCAGTTTTGTTAATCGTAAAATTGCAGGTGTGGTTCCAAAACAGGCGGATGAAGGACAAGCGGCAAAAAATGGCATCGTTACACTGGCCATTCGTTGACCATCACATGACTGCATATTTTTTCAATCCGTTTTATTACGAGGCTTGGAGATCCACGCTTATGCCCAAATTCTGCCCTCCATCGTAAGAATTTTCAGAAGTTTTTGTATCTTAAGGCTCAAGCTTTTCTTGCTTTGCCGTCCAGACGTTTATAAACGTATTAAAACGCTGTTATCACTCCAGCCAGTAGGTGCCAGAATTACGCCAGAGAGTTTTTTTTTTTTACAGTTGGATGGAATGGACGCAGTTACTGCTTGTAAAAAGAATACGCATAAGTAATAGCGATGTTTGTGTAATGATTTAATAAGTGAGCCAGAAAATACCATTTTCTGAAATCTGCGGCTTATAGTCAGGGATCAGTATGGCTAAAAAATGAAAACAAAGACAGCTGCTCCATCTTGCTCATATTGAGTCTGTTGGGTTAAAGAAGCTCATGGCAAGAGCTGTTTGGAATATTGGCGAATTCAGAAGGAAAATGAGTGTGAGATTTTCTTCGGCAGTGAATAAACCTCAGTAGTCTTTACTGATGAGCACGGCACGCTTGCAAGTCTCGTGATAAAGATCGTGAGTTCGACTCAGTCAGTAGGACCACCAGTCCTCTATTTTTAGTGCAAAAACGCATGATCGCAGCGGAGAGCCCGGTGCGTTCCAGCCTGGGTTTTTCATTCGTTTCGATGGTAAATTAGTACAGGCGCGCAGTGGATTTAAAACGCGGCATCAGTTTGTTTCTAAGCAATTATCAGTTATCGACAGTTTGCCAGTGGGTGGCATCTTTGGCATCTTCTTCCGCATGGATTGCTCCCAAATGCCTTCATCTCTCCTGGAGAGTGAACATAGAAGAAGTTTCGGCTTTTGATATTGATACATTTTTTCGAATATCGCTGATTTTACCTGAGATTTTAGAATGCTTGCACTTATTTGAGCATATTTTAAATTTTTAAGTATTTCTTCAAAATATTTCAAATTTTCTTATCTTTTGCAGTATTTCACGTCCGTTGCTTGCTTCGAATGGACCATTGCTAGGGCCGCTAGCAGTTGGCACAGGAGCATGCCCGGCAATTGCATCGCGACCAGCACGTTGTGCCACCCCTGGTAATAACAGTACAAATATGGCGCAAAATTGCATCTCAGAACCACTGGCCGATACTGCACCATTGCATTCACCATCATGATCCGGTGATTTGCTCCTTTTCATCAGTATGAATTAATTTAACAAAATTTTCAAAGTTCACCGTGTATGTTTGCAGCCAGCAAAACAACCAGCAGTGGTGCTCCTTGTTTAGATTTGACATCTCCCCACAAAATAGCATTCTACAACAATGTTTTGTTAAGTTTAGTACTTAACTTTGAAGTTTTTCAATCGATTCGCAACTTCTCATGTAATTTTTTATCACTTTTCTTTCCAATTTGTTGCCATTCCACTGGATTAGATAAAGATTTTCATTCAAATTTCATTACTTTCTAGCATTCTGAAGCGTTCTAGCACAAACATAACTGCCAATGAATCAAGCAGCACTTTTAGGTGTTTTTGCTCTTTTCTCTGAATGAATAAAATGTTGAATCATCCTTTCGGCCCGAACAATTTAGTCATTTTCGGAAACGGTGTCTTTGACTCTTTCACGAAAACGCTTCAGGCCTCAAAAGCTCACCTTATTGATGTTATGAGGCGAACTAATAGAATGCTTTAATTGTTGCTTACTGCAGTCAGTATCATTTGCATTACCGGAAAACAAAATTCAAGCGCACGACACTCAAAAAAAGACCTTCCGCTGATTTTTTTTTTT